ATCCTTGTTTGTATACATGTATGTGTTGTGTTGTGACTAATTTTAGCTCTTGCACAAGATTTGTTTTAGAGTGAGGGTATGGTTATACTAAGAAGGATGCAGTCATTGTCCTATTGAGATATGTCAGGATACACTGCAGCAAGTCAACTGCTATGGCTTGACACCCCCCCCCCCCCCCCAACTTCAAGTCTTTGCTGGCAGTATTGTTTTAGAAGTTCATAGGTGATTGATCCAACTTGCACTAAACTCTTGACAGAATGAGTTTGTCTTGTTTAATATTGTGTTCACATCATGTTCATAATTGGTAACTCATATATCATTTTCTTGTTCAAGAGATCTGTTGAGTGAAATTCTTGTTAGAACTCCCTCAATATCATATCACAAATTTGCTCAAACCCTTGTTTGATCTTAATTGCATCAGTTTTAATCATTGACTCAAAAAATGCATTTCAAGCATCTCAAAAACTCATAAGTGCATGAACCTTCGAATTTTACTATATGAACATCATTTCAAATTTTGGTTGCTGCCATTGTATTCCTCTCAAAATTTCAAGCAGGTTTGGTTTAAATTTTGTGGAAATTGGTTGAGATTTGAAGAAGATTTGATGAAATCGTTTTTCATGTTTTTGCTTTGGTTTTGCCTTAAGCTTGCCCAGCCTGCGCGCCATTCTTGGTATATAGGCAACTGGGGTGGCTTGATACAATGGATGTATCGTCACCCCAGTGGTTATTTGCCATGCCTTAAGTACTTTACATGCCCAATGACACAGGTTCAACCCTCAGCGAGGGTAGTTTTGCATATTTTCATGATTCTCCTTTGTTTGTGCATTTTAACTTCCCCTTTCCATATTCATTCACACGCATGAAGTGGTTGGGCTGACTATGATTTGAGCCCATGACCCCAAAGTCTTGGGTTCAAGCCTTGGGGGAGGCATTTTCTTTCTTTTTAATATTTGGTTTTATTTAATTTTATTTTAATTGTCATTAAAATTCAAAAAAATCATAACTCCTTCATTTTTTAGCATTTTTAAATGATTCTTTTTGTCAAATTTTTGTATTAATGTATATTTTCACATAATGTTTAAAGAATTCTAAAATTTTTATTTTAGAAACACTTTGCATTATGAGAAAATGGTGATTCATTTTAGGATTTTCATCCTCCTATCTCTCTTTCCCTATTTCAAATCTTCTTATCTTTGAGTTTAATTTGAAATTATGAACTTGGCTTGTTAGCTCCTTTGTGTATTTGATTTTTGATTTCAACTTTTGCTTGTAAGCATTGTAATTGATTCATTTCTCCAAACACTTAAAATCTCCGTGAGATTTTGAACCCTTTATCAAGTTATAACTTGTTTGTATAGTTGTTACCATTATCTTCGTTAAGATACACCCTTATCTTTGTCAAGATATGCTTTTGGTTGTCACTTCTTGTGCTTAAGTCTTGAAAGAACTTACCCCATTTCATGATATTGTAATATCTTGGTGTTTGCTTTGGTCGTAACCATTTATCTTGATTGAAATCATTTCATGATATTGTAATATCTTGATATTTGCTTTGGTCGTAACCATTTATCTTGATTGAAATCATTTCATGATATTGTAATATCTTGATGTTTGCTTTGGTCGTAACCATTTATCTTGATTGAAATCATTTCATGATATTTTAATATCTTGATATTTGCTTTGGTCGTAACCATTTACCTTGATTGAAATCATTGATATTGTAATATCTTAATTGTTTGCATTGGTCGTAACCATTTACCTTGATTGAAATCATTGCTTGATATCATAATATCTTGATGTTTTCTTTGGTCGTAACCATTTACTTTGCGAAGCAACATTTAGGGATGAACTTATGATAATATCACAAATATATAATTGATGGTATTAACAAAGACTTGGTGTTAGAGGTCGAATTGTTATCTTGTGTTTCTCACTTTAATACATATAGATTAGGTTAAGTTGGAAAACATGGAAGTGAGGCAAAGGAACATCATTTGTCGAAATTAGCCATATTAAGTGGAATTCGACTAAACTCTTTTGTGACATTCGACTAACATGTGAAGCAGTTATAAAGTTTGAGTGAACTATATAAATACTTAGTATTGATCATTTTCCTTTCAGTCAAAAGACAAATACTAGGGGGCCTCTGTTAATATATAAAATTACAGTCTTTGTATTCCGACTGTCAACCGAATTATATGCAGCAGATTGATGAATGTCGAAGGAACTCAAGTTGGTGCTATAGATAGTAGGGTGTTTTCGAAGGTTTTACTTTCAACCAAGAAGTGACATGTTATAAACATTCAAAAAGGGATTCGAAAAGACAGTCGAAGAAGTCTTTCAAATAGTCAAATATTGATGTATTGCGTCGATCAAGCAAACAACTCCTACAAGAAAGTTATCAAAAGTTATTAAAAGTAGTTATCCAAAAGGACATGTGCCAATATTAGATTAAGGAAGTTATTAAATAAGACACTTGTTAAAATCTTAGATGTAGGAAGTTATTTTGTTTTCTCTATAAATAGTTGTAATTAATATATTTTACGGGTTGGATCCTATTTTTTTGAAAGTCTTGTAACACCCACGCCGCAAGGGCAAATGGGTTCAGGGATAAACAAAGATGGATTCCATCAACCCTTTACATTCTCTTCAATTTAAGATTGTTTTTGTTCTGGCCTAGGCCCGAACTCACCTCGCGGCCCAGCCCAATAACGCACAGCCAAGGCCCAATATGATTTGAGTAGGCTGGCCGGGGCAGGCGACCCCCTCGACGGGCAGGGCATGCTCCGCCGAACAGGACGGCATGCTTCCAAATGCCCCCGACGCTCTTCCCTAGTCGGGCAGAGCAACCCTCCGCGGGCAGAATCCCCATGGCACGAGCAGAACAACACACCTCCGGGGAACCTCGTGAGCTCCCCTCCGCGAGGAGAACAACGTGTCATACGCACATTCTCCACGTGCTCCCCTCCGCGGGAACACGTCATCCCCCAACTGTCCACCTCCGAAAGAGCAGGTCAAACCCACTTTCCGGAGACCACGGGACAGTTGGACTAAGGCGAATACCACGTCCTGGTCTTCACTACGCCACGTAAGCCCTAACAGTCACCTGGGTTGGGCTTGACCATCCAGCCCAACACAAGTGGCCGTTGGCTCAGCGCTGAGGTCTCTCTATAAATACCCTCTTCCTCAAGAGGGTCAGGTAATTCACTTCTTACCCCATTTCTGTACTTTGCTCTCACTCTGCCCAATTCCTTACTTTGGCATCGGAGTGTCTTGCAGGTACACCCCCCTTTTCCTCCTCATCATCGGTGAACAGGTAGCAGTCCAACAGCGTGTGGCCAGCCCGTGATCCCCTTCTGATCAGGTCAGATCAGTTTTGTTTGTGCTTTATTTTCCTTTTCATTTTGCAAATCTACATTTCTTTTCATTTCTTTTATTTTTCTTTCTTTTGAATACTCACTTGAATTTTATTTCTTTTAAGTTGTTATGAGACAACTTGTTTTATAAAAGTTGTTGGAATTAATTCTAACACTAATAAAAATAATGATTTTGTTTTTAGAGAATGGATATAAACTAATATCATAAATCGCGAGACTTCAACGAATATTATAAAAAGACTTTTGTTGAGTCCTAAAGTGTTGATGAATAATAAATGTTTATACTACCAAAAATCAATGTAAACAGTTGACGAATGTGTATTTTATAGTTGTGTGTGTTTCAATGTATCAAAAACGTAATAGCATGTGTTTGGCGCAGACGGGTTGTTGTGCTATATTTCTTGGTAATGAAACCGTAATGATTTGGGGGCCATGTTTCTAAATTAGCCAAACCGTAATGGCATGCGTATCTTGTTTCGCCGTAACGAAACAGTAATAACATGTAAGTTGCATAAGTTGATTAATTAGTTTTAATCTAATGAGGAATCTTGGATAATGTGTATGTTTCATAGATAATGAAACTGTAATAGTTTGAGTGCTATGTTTCTATGTAAGAGAAACCGTAATAGCAGGTGTAATATGTTTGTATGTAGGGAAACTGTAATTATAATGTGCACTACGTTTTCATGTAAAGGAAATATAATAGTATAAAAATCCTTTTATGGTTGATTGCTCAGTGCAAGATCAAGAAGAACCTATTTGATTGATTAATACTTATTCAATGTGTGAATAAAATAAATTGAACCAGTGAGGAAATCCTAGGAATTTCTTGAGTTTTGGTTTTGGTCTGGTCCCCTTTTTTTATAATCCTTCTTTTAATTCCATTTAAGGCTATGCAATCCTGTTTTTAATTTTTTTTTTAAACTTATAAATCGTTTTAAAATAAATATATATTTTTTAAACATTTTAAAATAAATATTTAAGAACGTAATTGATGAGTTTCAGAAGACTCGCAGAACTAATTCCAACCTTTGAGGCACATACATTTTTTGAATCTAAAGTCCTTTAATAATCGGTGATAAATCATGCTATATTAATTAATGTATCTATATTATTAATCTTGAAATAGTGAATTCTTAATAACTTATATTTTCCTAATTCTCCACAAGATAAGAGTCTCTCCATTTATCTCAGATGTTCTATAAGAGTCTCTCCATTAAGACTCTACTGCCATCAAGTTAAAAATGGACAAAAGTTCAATAAAATCCATTATACAACAAAATTGAGAAATGTACTTTGCAAACAAAATGTCTGCTACACTAGACAGTTAAATCTTAACATGATTGAAAAAAAAAAGCATCATGAAATGCTATATCATATATGTTCTCAATTGAGATTTTTCTTCTTTTAAAAAGGAAAAGGGCATTGCCAGGAAATGTACACACTCCGGTTGGTAAGTAGCCTGTCAACTCATATCCTGCGAGGACGTGAGTTCAACTTTTACTACCAAACTTGCGAACTTCTTGATAGATAATCTGTAAGTTTCTATTTCAGCACCCTCCGAGCTGAACTTGGAGCGGCCTTGATCCTGATGACTGAGAATTATTACGACTGCGGCTATTATTGCTGCTGGTCATGGATCTGTAGCTGTTGATCTGATAGCTGAGATTGCAGTGGTTGGTCACTTTGCCACACCCAAACAATATCCTGAAGAGCAGGCCTAATATCCTCTTTCAGAATTTTTTGATATTCTAATGTATCTCCATTTGATTTTTTCACCTCAACTAAATGGAAATTAGGAGTAATCTCGAAGATCTCTGCATCAATGGATAAAACCCCTTTCCTACCTTCATCCAATCCCTCTAATTTCAACAAACCAGCAGCTTTTTTCTTAATTTTCATCCTCAGTTTCTTAGCAATGTCTCCCATCTTCGAGATGATGACTGATGCAGGTAGTTTTGAACTAAATCTTGCTTCTTTTGTCTGAACATCGTCTTTAAAGAATCTAGAAAGATCGAAGCTAACTGAAAGGGAAATGATATCAAAGGCATTTATGCTGATCGGCACAAACGACTCTTCCTTTGCTTCTTCTGCTTCTAGACCGTCGTTTTCGTCATTTTGATCAGACAAAACTGTACTGGAAGAACAAACAGAAAGAGTGCTGTTTTCCACTTTTGGTTTTTTATTTCTAGCATTTGGTCCATTTTTAAACCAACAATGTTCCTTAATCTCAGCTATGGAAATCCTAGTATTGGGTTTCGGATTCAATATATCGCCTAATAGCTTGCAAACTTCAGGCCGAAACCAACTAGGATATTTTATTTCTGCTATGCTTATCTTCCTATACATCTCAATCAAATTTGAATCATGAAAAGGGAGATAACCTGCCAATAAAACAAATAGAACTATTCCACAAGACCAAATATCGGCTTTCGCACCGTCATACCCTTTTCTTTTAATGACTTCAGGAGCAACATAGGCCGGAGTGCCACAAGGCGTACGGAGCATACTATCCTCTTGATTTGACTCCACAAGAGCACTTAACCCAAAATCAGAAACCTTTAGATTCCCATTTTCATCCAATAGAATATTTTCAGGCTTAATGTCTCGATGATACACGCCTCTACTGTGACAAAAATCAACCGCGTTGATTAGCTGTTTAAAATATCTGTGCGCAACTTCTTCTTTGAGTTTTCCTTTCGAAACCTTGTTGAAAAGCTCACCACCTTTAGCATACTCCATAACAAAGTAAATCTTAGTCTTAGTCGCCATAACCTCAAAAAGCTGTATAATATTGGGATGTCGAGCCAATTTCATAACCGATATCTCACGCTTGATTCGATCAACAAGCCCGGTTCTCACAACCTTATTTTTCTCGATTGCTTTAATCGCAACACTCTGGTTAGTCACCTTACTACGTGCATAGTAAACCTTCCCAAATGTTCCCTGACCAAGCAATCTCCCCAACTCGTATCGGTCCATTAAAACATTCGGATCCATATCACTCTCCATACTAGACCGTAAACCAGTATAATATTTTACACTAACTTCCTAAACCCACTTAAAATTATAGATCATTTACTACACTGTAGTGTATATATCTATCTACATACATATAAGAAAAGCATGTATCGAGTTTCAATTTCAACCATCTTCGCAACGATCATGAATCAACAGAACAGGCATTATGAAAAAACTTGTGTGCCAATTGCGCATCAAGGAATAGCTAATGTAAATTAGTGATTCACTCTTTTCAAGCATTAAATGAGACAGTAAGAACAAATATAACACCTTATAGATTTCAAACACAGAATTGGAATCAAGAAGTTGCATCTTTTAGGCATTCCAAGAAGTGTCTTTTTCAACAATATTTACTTGAATTTCAGCAGATATAATCTGAAAAATAAATAAAGAAACTACACTTCAGAACTTCAATAATTGAAAAATAATGGAAAAAAATATCATATCAAATTGATGATCATAAATCAGAATTGAACTGAATCAAATCAACGATTCTAATAATAATAAGGAACATGCAAAAGTTGAAACCGTAAATTGAAGCAGAAGAAAAGAAATAGTAATAATAGAGTAACCTTAAGAATTTGGGGATGAATCGATTCGTAGTTACAGAGGGAAGATACAAAAACGCAGGGAAATGTTTATATGATGAAGTGAAAGATTTTGACCAAGGATTAAGAAACCGAATGGATTAATTGGTTAATTAAAGTATAGTTAATTATAAAAAAAAGCTACTTAGGACTTTAAACTAAGTTACTTTATTTTTATTTTTTTTTAGAAAAAATGACAAATACCACGACTAATTCAAATATAAATAAAAAAATCCAACTTAATAATATTAATAAAATAAAATATTAAGTATACTGTTATATTTAACAAACTCAATTTTGATAGTTGTGTAAAAAATCAAATATAATTTAATAATTATGTAAAAATATTAAATACAAATCAAATATTTATTTATTTATTATATTTATTATTATAATTATATTGTTATTTTAAATTATAATATATTTTTGGATAAATATGTTTATTTGATTGTAAGAGGCACCAAAACATTGTGGAAGTGTGTGTGGGCCCTACCCGGGTCCCAATTGCTTGCTTAACGTGTGGGGTGGATTTGCGACAATTATTATTATTTTTATCCACATTTTACACCCTCGACATTATTTTTTATATTATATTGAACTGAAAAGGATGTACTAATTTTGTATTGTTTCAAAGTACACATGGGCGTTTTTTAGAAATTCAAGGAGGGTGGGTTTCTTTTAGTGGAGTCATCTATTCTTTTTGGCTTGTTTATAGATCATATATTCCACCTTTATACTTCTCCTATAAACTTGAGAAAAGATGGTACTGTCCTAAAAACTAATATTAATACATCTATATTTTAGACACGTGTTTTTCTAAATGAGAATAAAAGAAAAAACAAAACAAAACAAAAAGCAAATAAAATAAGAGAGAATTAAAACTTAACATCGAAAGAGAGGTCAGAGATGATATGTATCTAAGAAACAAAGCTAGAAGTTGTAGATAGAAATCATTGCGCTTTGATATGGGGATCAACAGACTGTGAGTTTGCTTTCTCGGCATCAGAGAGCAGGTCAGAGGTCTACTAACAATTTGGAATGGGAACGTTTTTTTGCTTCAAAGAAAAGCTATAAGAGAACACATGTTAATTTTGGAAGGAGATTGGGAAGAAGAAAAACACTCGGTCATTATTGTAAATGTGTGTGCACCATGTGAGATTAAAATAAAGTAAAAACTGTGGGAGGATCTTTTATCGATGATCATGGCAAGGAAGGAGGCTAAATGGTGCGCACTGGACGACTTTAACTCGACTAGAATTGAATCAGAAAAAAAATATTAAATAATTGCAACAGAAGGGAAGAATTGAAAATATTTGATGAACTTATTTCAAAAGCAGAGCTGATAGATCACCCGTTTCATGGCAAAAGGTTTAGATGCACTACGCCAAAAATGAATTTTTGCAGCGTAGCAAAGACAACGCTTTATATAAAAGTGCTGCTAAAGATTTTTTTTTTAAAAAAGGGAAAAAAGCGCTGACTTTAGAAAGCGCTTTGTTAAAAGCGCTGCTAAAGGTTGTTATTTTGCAATACAATAGAAAGCGCTGCTAAATGATGGGAGATATGAAAGCGCTTTCATAAAGCGCTACTATAGGGGGGATAGGAAAGCGCTTTCTTAAAGCGCTGCTATAGGTTCTGCCTTAGGCAGACTTTAGAAAGCGCATTTTTAAAGCGCTGTTAAAGGTGGAGGTTACGAAAGCGCTTTTAAGGAGAAAGCGCTGCTATAGGGGGTTTACAAAAGCGCTGCTATAGGTCTTTACTTTTTTAAAAATAAAACTATATTTTCATTTCAGACACAGTACTTCTTTCTCTCTCTCTCGTACATGTATGTATTATTTCCCTCTCTCAACACAAAATCCTACCCCCTCTGTCGCGCTCCCTCCGTCTGACCGCCGTATCCCTCCGTCTGACTGCGTATTCCTCCGTCAACCAGTTATCAGCAAGGTAACAAGAAATATTTCTACTTTCATTCTTATATATTTTTTATTCAAAGAGGAACAACTAAGGTTTGTTGAAGTTTTGTATTCTTAAAAACACGGCTTAAACTAATGCGTAGAACTTTTGGAAAGAAATAATCTTCTACTCTTTTTTCTCTTCTTTTACGTATTTGTTTTAAAGAAGACTGGGTCTGACCTTTTAACTCCACTACATCCTTAATTTAGGGATATATGCCCATGATATATATATATATATATATATATATATATATATATATATATATATATATATATATATATATATATATATATATATATATATATATATATATATATATATATATATATATATATATATATATATATGAGAATTATGGCCAAGAACTGAATTTGGCCTTTATTTCCCATGAATCACCTTTTATTTTAGATTGTATAGTAATTGATATAAATGACTGAATTGTTGTTTCATGTTATAAAAGTGGGACAGTTTGAGTATTATATTTGGGAGAGTAATTATTGTTGTCAATTGTCAGTAGTCAGAGCCATGCATTTTTTACTTTCATTCTCCTTTAACTTTTAGCATAGAACATATAATAGAAAACCAAATTGGTCTTAAGCCTGCAATTCATTTACTATAAATTAATTCAATAGTTATGCTTTTACTATCTCAAAATTTCATGACATTTTTAAAATAAACATCTCTTTTACAAAAATACATATGATATAAAAAAGTACATATCAAAAAGTAATATGTAGTAAATAAGAGTTATATATCTTAGATGTGAAACTGTTGCTACCAACTCTATAATCTGCAATAGCTATATATCTTTGATGTGATTACATTATACATAACTCTTATTTTCGGTATAAAAGTAGTGATTACTTTATATTTTTGATGTTGTTAAGTATTAACAAGTGTCATTAGTGTGAATAATAGTTCTCATGTAAACATCAAAAAGGACCAATAATAAAAAGTAACGAGAATGTTGTTGTTGATGTTGTTAATGTTGATGTTGTTAATGTTGATGTTGATGTTGTTAATGAAAACATGAATTAATTTTGTATGTTAATTTGTTATAGGGGTTACTTGTGAAGAGTAAGATTGTGATCATTTCCAAGAATCTTACTGTGTAGTTCTAGAAGTTGTTGACTTCTCTACAGTTACTACAGGTAATCACTATTGTTGTTTAACTTACTTAGTTTAGTTTAGCCTACTTAATTGGTATGGATAAAAAATGGATGTATTCCAATCAATTGTCAAAAGAGTACGAGAATGGGGTATCAAAATTCGTTAAGTTTGTTGTTGAACATGCCAAAGACCCCAGTAGGATCACATGTTCTTGCTTAGGTTGTTGTTATAGGCGTCAGATTGATGCAGTTCAGTTGGAATCGCATTTAAAGAGGCATGGAATTGATCGAAGTTATACATGTTGGACATTACATGGTGAGATAAGTAACGAGAATGTTGAACCGAGGGATAATACTAAAGGTGAGAAAATACTTAGAAGGGGGGGTTGAATAAGTATGAAGATAAAACTTAGAAATAAAAAAATCAAGGATTTTTATCCTGGTTCGTTTAACTCAACTACTCCAGTCCACCCTAACAAGAGTGATTTGCCTTTCTCAAACAAGGACTTAATCCACTATTTTAATCAACTGATTACAATAGTAAGCACTAAGAACAACTGTTCAAAGTCTTCTCAAGAACTACTGATCCTAACTGGATCTTCTTAAGGTTCTCTTACAATCAAATGTAATAATAATACAAGTGTTAAAAATGCTTTTAATAAAGCTTTATCACAACTGTGATTTTTCACTTAAGATGAAGAACAGTGAAATAAATTCAGCAAATGAGTATAAGTTGTATGAAAGCTTGTAATAAATTCTTTCAAGTATTTCGTCAACTAAAGAAGATGAATGGAGTCTTGCTTTTATAGGCACAGAGGTCCATGAAGTCTTTCACGTTGAGAGTTGTGTACCAAAAAGGTCTGAGCCTTTTTGTCTTCACATCACATGACCTTTCCTAGAATAAGAATGCACAGAGAAATCCTTTTTGTCTGTGCTCTTGTGTCTAGCATAAATAAGGAAAGAGTCATTTGGTGATTCCAACGGACATAACTTTGAATTCTTCTTCAACAAGTTTCAGCAAGAATCATTAGAGTCTGGATTGGTCAGAGTCTTCTGATATTTATCAGAGTTTGCTGAATCAGGGTCTTTGCAGCAAGTGTGCTATCAGCGTGTAAATGTTTAGAGCAGAGTTTGGGTTCAGATCCTTAGTACTGGCAGCGTTAGTACTATCAGAGTCTTCTGAATTAACTGTGCTTGAAACTCTTCATACAGATTTCTTCATTGCTTCAGATACTTCTGGCTTCTGCTTCAGATCCTTCTGCAGTCAGCGCTCATAATCTTCTGGAGGCAGCGTTCAGAATCTTCTAAGAGATGCTTCTGACGCTTCAGAGCCTTGCATATT